TATGAATTTCATATAACAAGAATCTAAAAGATCAGAAATATTTTCTTGCATACATAAATGCATTATCAGAACATTTTAGTCAGAACAAGTAAAGATTTAAATTTTATGTTGTTATTAAGGGAAAAAATTCAGGAATTTTTCATTCTTGGATAGAAGTTTTAAACTGTATTAAAAAATTTTCAGATCCTTTTTACAAAGGTTTTACAAATTTTCAAGAAGCATTAGATGCAGTAAGACAGCATATAGGAATAAATTTTTATTTATCTCCTTCTTTAAAAAATTAATCCGATCCTCCATTAGACTTCTCTCCAAGTAAATACCAGAATATTTTTTTGCCAACATTGTGAGTGTATGCAAAGAAATTATAAAGTTATTAACGAAGCCAACCAGAATCTTTCATTAGAAAGAACCCAACTCCAAAAGAAAGTGGCCCAACTTGAAAAAGAGATTTTGGATTTAAAAATCCAATATCCAACAGGTACTATGGAACCCAATAAGTCCATAGCTAGTCCAGCTTAAACGGTAGCTGGTAAAGACTTATTAAATCCTTTGAAAGTTGTGGACTTACCAAAAGCCCAACAGACTCAGGGGACTGTTGATTCCTCTACTAAATTAGAAAATCAGACTCAGCAGACTGATAAATCTGCTACAAACAAGGGTAAAGAGATTTGGGATCTTTTAGGACAGTCCAGTGAAAAATTTGATTACTTAGTTAAATATAGTCCACCAGAACATTTTTCACCAGAACATTTTTCAAATAATCCAGATTTTTAACAAGCCCAAGAAATTCAGTCTAGTAAAGGAAAGGAAAAAATGGTTGCCCAAGATAGTCAAGATATTTTATTTTTTTAAGAAGCACAAGACCCCAATCAAGACACTGTCTCTTTAGAAAAGATTTTGGAAAAAATTGAAGAATTTCAGAAACAATCCAAAAGAGATTAATGAACTTCTTCAAAAAGGAAGAAAAAGATTAAGAAGAAGAAAAATGATGAAGGATTAAAAGAACAGATTAACGAAGCAGTAAATCAAGCATTTGAGATAATTCTAAAAAAAATCATGAAGAAGAAAAAGAAATTACAGAATGTCCAGATTAAAAAGAAAAAGATGAAGATAATCATTCTAAACTTTCAGAAGAAGATGAAGATCCACAGAACAAAGGATACAATAATCCAGACAGTGGAATGTCATTTTCATCAGTGGCACGCCATAATCTTGATACATGATAAGATTCTTAATAATGCAGAACAAGACAAATCTTGATGGAAGAAAAGAAGAAAAAGTTGAAGACTTTTTTATCACTAAATTGTAGACTTTTTGACTAAGTTTTCATTATTAGAAAAGATGTCGGAACTTTTTGAAAAGAAAGATTCCCATTTAAATTTTAGACACTTGTTAGAATTTTGATTGGCCAGAAGCTTCTCGGTGAAGTGAGTACCTTTCCCATTAAGGGTAATTTAGATTTTTTACTCTCAATAATTTTTCTATTTAAAGAGACAATTTCATTTGGTTTATGCAGAAGTTTACAACCTGTGTACTCTCTGCTATCTATAAAAACTTTTGAAATCTCTCCTTCAGAAAAATTCTCAATCAAAAAACTATTGTACAGCTGAAGTTCTTGTGAATATTTTAAGGTACTCTTATTTTCTTAAATTTATTTTAGAACTTTAGGGACTTCCCGAAAGGAAAATCTTTAGTTGTAAATCTTTTAAAGATGAATTTATAAATTCCTGATTTATGTTTTACTTCTTTATTTTATATTCATGTTTTTCTTGAAGTAAATATTTGTCATATTTCTCATTGCATCCTATGCATATAATAAAAGCATAACTTGATTTCTAGAAGTCATACTGTTTTTAGGTTAATCCTGAGTGACCCAGATAAGTGAAAACTTTTGACCGGAGTAAGCCTTTTGATGTTTTTTAGATAAGCTGGGGAAATGGATAAATTAATCTAAAAATTTTACAAGGGAGTGCTACGGGTAACCTTATAAAAAGAAATCAGGTTAAAGTTTATATGTCGTAGGTGGTAAAAAAAAAAGATTTATATATGATTCTAAGAAAAGATTTATAGAAAATTAAGGAGAGTACCGAGTATGATTAAAGTTATTAAAAACAAAAAAGTTATCAACAGTAGCAAACAAACAAACAGCAGCAAACAAACAAACAGCATACCCCCCCAACTTGAACCTGATTTCTTTTTATAAGGTTACCCGTGGCACTCCCTTATAAAATTCTTAGATTAATTTATCCCTTTCCCCAACATCTCTAGAAAACATCAAAAGGCTCACTCCGGCCAAAAGTTTTCACTATCTGGATCACTCAGGATTAACCTAAAAACAGTATGACTTATAGAAATCAAGTTATACTTTTATTATATGTATAGGATGAAATGAGAAATATGACAAATATTTACTTCAAGAAAAACATGAATATAAAATAAAGAAGTAAAACATAAATCAGGAATTTATAAATTCATTTTTAAAAGATTTACAATTAAGGACTTCCCTTTCGGGAAGTCCCTAAAGTTCTAAAATAAATTTAAGAAAATAAGAGTACCTTAAAATATATGGATCCGTGCACGGAGAAATGAAATTTATTATTATTTTTATTTATATTTTTGTGTTCATTTTCACGCTCATTACGGGATATCAAACGAAATCGAAATATTACATTCTTAATATCGTTTTGAAGTACTCGCGACATAGTATTACACGTCGTTAACGGTGCGTGAAACGGTCAATCATAGCAAATGTTATGAGACGTCAAAGTAGGCATTTTCAAACTATATTTCGAAATTTTCGATAACAAGCTAACTTTAAAAATTCATCGACGATTGTACGATAGTTGAATCGATAAATGTTTTACATTCTCTCGAAACTCATTTTGAGAACTATATCGTAGAGATATCGAATGACCTAAATAAATATCAAAAATAGTTAAACGGACATTAAACGTATGTGTTAAAAATACGCATAAGTCGTTTTTCTTAAAAAAATCAGTTATTTTATTACTATTTTGAAATTTTCGTAAAAAGTTAACTTTAAAAATTTCGTCGACCATTGTACGATAATCGAATCGATAAATATTTTACATTCTCTCGAAACTCATTTTGAGAACTATATCGTAGAGATATCAGATGATCTAAATAAATATCAAAAATAGTTAAACGGAAATTAAACGTATGTGTTAAAAATGCGTTTTTTTTAAAAATCAATTAGTTTTTTCTTTTTAATTCTTTTATCTTCCAAATAAAACTTAATTTTTCAATTTTAACGAAAAAGTTATTTGTAGGTTAAAAAAATTGAAGAGAAAAGAATTAAATTTTTTTTTATATATAGTATGGTTTCCGTGCACGGAGGATTATTCAATTTTTTTTTTTTACTTTTTTGTTCTCCATTTTCATACGCTATGGCACGCCTTTTCAAATCAACTCATTTGCTTATATTATTATATTATATATATAGTGTAAGAGAGACAATGTGAATTTATGTAACACGCAACTTTCCATACCTCTCGCATTACTCTGTGCTGACCACTTTTATAAGTAAAAATAAATAAAAATCATTTTTAGTAAAAAAAATGTAAAAATAAACATATTAACAAAAAATATTTCTAATATATGTAAAAATTACTTATATAAGTAAGAGAATCCGTTTAAAATTATTTAGAAGTAAAAAATAAATTAAAGTTATGAAAATTAAATGAAGAATATATAAATATTATTTAATTAAAATTGAAAATTTTACTTTATAAATAATTGATTTTTTTATCAATTTATTTAAATTTCTTTTTAATTCTTTCTTTTTCAAATAAAATTTATGTAATTTTTTTTTTTTAAATTCTTTTGCCCTACCAACCTTTGAGTGACTATTGTATCGTCCGAAAAATAGGTCTGCTGTTAGAGTTCTAATTCTTACACCAATAAGGGAGTTGGTCATCCAGTAAGTGTCACTTCAAGTTATTTTACGTGCAAACCTAAGTTTGTTATTTAAATATTCGTGTATGTGGATATTCTCTTTCAATTTACAACTGCATGGGTTATTTTTGAACTATAAGTATAGCCTCTAGAATCGAAGTTGCTAAAGAAAAGCATTTTGCAAAATTCAATTTACAACTTATTTGCAATATCAAAAAAAAAAAAAAAATTCATCTATATTAAACAAAAAATACAAAATGTAGTTAAAAGTAAATTATCGTTAACATATAAACAATCACAACATTCATTATATTTATTTATAAGAATAAAAATAAATTATCGTGACATAAAATCTACAGTTGACCAAAAGATGAGAATCAAACAAATATTTCTTATTTCCAAATATTTTTTGTACAATCTATAAATTCTACGCTAATAAAACAAAAATAAATACAAAATTCGTGCAATGCACGAGACGCAGACTAGTATTTATAAAATATTTTGTAATTACAAGTAACATTATTCGTAATGTTATTGGGAACTTAAAAGAAGGTCCTTCTGTAATGGCTGTCTTGATTCAAGCTTATTTTAACTTGTAGTTTAAAAATAATTTTTATTTAACTATAATCTATATATTTTCTTTGTACTAACCTATATTTGTCGTAAAATAAGGATTAAAATTCAAAGTTAAATTTAAGTTAAAATCAACAATTACAATTAACATTATATTTAATGAAACCTGTAATTTTTTAACTACACATTTCATCAATTTTTATCAAACTATACTAAAAATTTGATTTTAATCATCAAAAAACAAGGGCTAAATTAGAAAATGTAAAACATCAATATATTTCTAATTTTTTTTTTTTTTTATGTAGAAATAGCATTATGTTACGTCAATCCTATTAAGCCCTTGTTTGGTGGAGATCAATATTTTTAATAAATTTTTATTAAAGTTGTTGAAATGTGTGGTTGAAATTTTTTTATAAAATGTAATTAAAATTAATTGTTAATTTTAATTTAAATTTAAATTTTAAATTTTAATCCCTACCAAACGAGCCTTGAAAATAGAAAAAACATTTGAGTCTAATAATTCTTCTGTTAAATCTTATTGAAAAGAATTACAGTGACATTTGAATATAATTATTACACAACAATTACTCAAACATTTTTTATTTCATCATTAATATAACTTAATTCTGAAAAGATCCTCACGTTTACCAATCTTTCCTGTCTCTGAAGATCATTAACAGATAAAAGACTTGAGCATTCAAGCCTTCTGATTGGAATTAGAAGAGGATTCTCCTGATTCAATATCCCTCGAAGCAACAATTTCTGAAGATTCTGCATGCATGTTTTTCCCCAGCTTCTCATTCTTGATAATTTTTTCATCAAAATGCTTATCATCTTCTACTGATAAAACCACAGCGTGTGGCCCATGCGGCCCTTCTACAATTGCCTCCTTGATTCTGCGGTGTTCGTTGGCGTGTATGAGATCGGTTTCTTGTACAGTCTTCTTTCTGTTGCGCCTTTTGGAAACAAAGCACCACAGGGCGAATAGGCAGAACGCGACGAAGAAAAGGCAGCCGAATGAGATGAACACTACTATGATTACGGTGGTGCTGTTGTCTGAGGAGGAAGGAGGCGGTGGGGCAGGGAAATGGCGTGAGTTAACTGGCGATGCCATTTTTGAGTTGGGTTTTTTGAAGATGAGGGTTGATTGTGTTGAGGGGAAGACAAATTCCATGCGCTTATTTATAGTTGTGGTTTGCATTGTATGTTTTTTACAATGCTTTCAAGATTTCAAAGACTTGACTCCTATGTAAAGATTATGTGAGTTTTGATTGCATTGGAAAACACTCTAAGAGTCTCACAAGATATGGAAATTATTACTTATAGAAGGATCTTCACCTATCTATTATTGGCTATTGATTACGATTGATACACATAATTAGACAATAAATTATTGCAAAGTTTGACAATCTATTTAAAAGATGAAAGTCGACTAACTCGTAAAACAATTTTCTAAAAGATCAATGACAAGTTAAAGCATTCTATATTAAAAAGGACTTCGCTAATTATAATTTCAACCCGAAAAAAACTTAATGAGCTAGTCTCCTCGAAATCCTATATGCTTCATTTCTCCGATATTATATATATAAAAGAAATCTAATAACCCTTATTAGATAGAAGATAGTCTAATGAGTGGAGGGAAATAACTGTCAAAAGATTCATGATAGTTACAGGTGCTGCGATGGTGGCACCTATATATATGGTTGCCCACTTGCCTCTCTCTCTCTCTCTATTCTTTTTTTGCCAACTAGTCAAAATTGAACGTACATTGCACGTTATTCTAAAATACTTTATAAATAATGTAAAAGTAATATTTCATACAATTTTTTTGAAGAATTTGATGAGTCTCGGATGAATTAAAAAAATAAAATTTAGTATAGAAATTTAAGAGAAGAAAATTGTAATCTCAAGACTCAATTTATAAGAATCAAATTTTTATAGTGATGAAATAATATAAATAAGCAATTTTTTTATATTACATTAGATACATAAAAATTAATTGCTAATATATAAATATAAATAAATTTATAGATTCATATAATTCAAGATTCATCAAGTGAAAATTCATTGAATCTAGATTAATATGAATATTAATTAATTAAGAATTAATAACAAAAATTTTATAAATGACAATAATTTTATAGTATTTATTACATATCGAAAAATGAAAAGTAAGATATTATTGAAATAATTGAATATTAGGGGGTTAAAATCGTCCAAAAAATATCCTCCCTTGATGTGATATTTTAATATATTATAGATGACCATTAAAATAATGTTAAGGGTGGTCATGTACATCTCCCTTGTACATATGGCTTTTTTCATTTGTATAAATCATTTCACAGAAATTATATAGAACTCTCACATGGGAGTGGGTCTCGTGTGAATAAAATAGTGCTCCCCCACCCCAAAAAAAAGTCACCATTTGCTGTGTATGGTCTGTAATGTTTCTGTGGAAGTGGTCTGTAATGTTTCTGTGGAAGGAGTTTCTGTTGGAAATATTTGCATCAACGGAGGAAAATTTCAGAAAATATAATCAAGAAGATGAAGAACACAACGAACATGAAGGCTCGAACGCGTAATCGCTGTCCTCAAACTATATTTGCCTCCTCTTGGGATTGTTTGAGATGCTTAAGGATTTTGGCAAACAGTTTGTAGGATTATATCAAGCCTTGTAAAGGATCTAGCACTAAAGCATAAGAGCGATCCTCAAAAACTTTAAGAACACAAGGAAGAATTGAATGTAAATGAGAAATCAAGTGTTTGATTTAATGTGGAATAATATTTGGATCACAAGGTGTTTTTATCATGTTTGTAATGGTTTTTCACACCCTTGAAATAATCACAAATCACCTATATATAGCCATGAGACAAGGTTATGCGAAGTGGTGTCAATTCATAATTGAAAAGCCGCCAATTTCAAACCACAACCGCCTTCAACGCTCACTCCGAAACTACCATGCGACCGCATGGTATAACTCCATGCGGTTGCATGGAGTACTCGAAACTGGGCTTCCATTCTCGAGTAATGGATATGCGACCACATGGCACATGTAATGGGCCTCTGGTTGGTTTTCCATTTCGCTTTTGTTCCACTTCCATTTCACTTCGTTTTTCCATTGAATTTTCGAACAACAATTTCAACAATCCCCCACTTGTTCGAAATTCAATTAAAAAATCTCAGATTCAAATCATACGATACTCATGCATAATGACTAGATATCTTTCGATTTGAACTAGCCATAGTGTAATCCAAACAAAGTATAGTCGGAATCAAAGGTAGTCGTAGCTTTGAATCAGTTATTCCATGTGACAATACCGATTCGAACACACACACGAGTACCACGTGTTCTCAAGTTCCTCATAACTCGCTTAGCACTGTTATGGCCTTGTGCTAATCCTATTCAACAAACCTTTAAAAGATAAACTCGAACTCTCACTTGAGGCGGCACCACCTCGAAGTTTGTTTACGCGAATTCCTTCCAGTACCTTTGTTACTTTTAGAGATATTTGTGTTTTAGCACTGAACTTCATTAAGAGCTTTAATGCTTAACCCTCACTTCAGTAAGAAGCATCATTATTTTACTTAGGATAGGGTCAATGCGGATTTTAATAATGTTGAAACCATCCCACATATCGAATGACTTATTTTTACCCTTTGAACCCGTGGATTACCTTTTGAGTAATGACAGATAGGGTTGTCGTCATTGGTGGACCTTTATAGATTAGGAGTTTCAACCCCATCCTACTCGAAGTAGATACCACTAAAGTTTTATTTAGTAGTCCATTAAAGGACCCGCTAAATTTTCTTCGAAAATTATTTCACCTTTGACAATTTCCATGTGACGTCACCTCTAAGACTTATATGTCTTTACTTCTCATTTCATGTGACTTAGTATCTTAACAAAATATAACTAGCCAAAGATCGATTCATTTGGTAGATACAAATTGTCACCACCAAGAAACCACATGCTTTTCACTCGCTTTATATAAAACCTTATTGATTTTTAAAACACTGTTGGATGATTTCCATTAATTCATTTTGCAAGCGCCACAATCAACCTTTACCCATTTAATCCACATTAGACTTATTATGTTTCATCCTTACAAAGTCTTCTCTACCTTTCTCCATTATAGATGTATTTCTATGATTAAAAGGTAAAGGATATGGTAACTTTTTAAACTAAGTTACCCCGTCAGTTCCTCAAAATAGGAATTTTTATGCAATCTTGTAATGTTGCATCCATATATCTTTGAACTTCTCATATAAATTCATAAGATTAATGTTTACCCCCACACTTCGGGTTATACTCGAACTTAGAGTTCCTCAATATGTCAACCCCCACATTTGGGATTGTACTTGAACTTCGAGTATATTAACTCGTTCATAGTTCATTCACTTATCACTTTGATAATACTCGTGAAATTTTTAAGTATTTCAGATAGTGATTGTTAAGTCACGATATACTTTTAATTCACTATCTTTAATTTTGATCACACCATTTGATCAAGGTTATCTCATAGACCATTAATGCATTTTCAAGCATAAACCAACTCAATTGGTTCCACATTTGAAGTCAAATTCAATTAATAAATAAGACCGTGCTTCTTGTTTCACAAGAATTGCACTTTGCCACTTTCACAAGACAAAATTATATAATTTAGAATAATAAGGCATATATTTACCTTATTCACATTTGGACAAAATCACATTTTGTCATATTTGTATACAAACATGATTTTGCACAAGATTCTCTCACTTAATTTTGGCTATCAACATTTCAATAGAACATGAAATCAGTCATCAAGTTTATCAAGTGATTTTTAATTTTCTAGTAGAGAAATGGTCATGGAAGTTCACATACTTTCTTTCATAAAATTTTAACATTTTAGAATTTTCTTATATGTAACATATACAATATCATGATGAATTTCATCGCAATAATATAGTATGCAATCAAAAACTTCAACCATTTAACCATATGGCTGAACGCTAAAACATGCATCATTAAGTAAGCAAGTGCTAGCAATATACGCAAATATTCTTCAAAGGAAAGAACACACTTTTTCCTTTATGCACGTATATAAGTACTTGCACACATCAATTAGTGAGAATCAAATACTACTCATTATATCAATTTCTAATTTCACGATAAGGTGAAAATAACATATTTATTTTATATTCCATTAAAGGAAATAATGATCAGATTTATCCAGTCTAATTCAAACATTTCCTACCAGAGGAACACACCTCTTCCTTTATTGCACCGTTCGAAATAAACCAATTCTTTATTAAGCAGGCACCTTTTCATTGATTTTCATCAATTTATTATTTTGTGAAATGCCTTGCAAAACTCAATATTGGTGGCATGTTATGGTATCAGGAAGCAAAATATCTGTTTGTGCCTATCTTGACATAGAAGAAAGAAGAAGTATTTTAACTTCTTTTACAGTTAAAGGCAATCCCTATAACATGTCACGTTCATGCAACTTATTCCCATTTTAAGTAAACAAAAATACAGGGCAATAAGTAATACTATAACACATAAATAGATTATTCATCACAATAATTTAATCAACGCAATTAGGTTTCCCAATATGGATAGACAGAATAGTCACTGGCCAAACCGTTTTAAATCAAAGACACGCATTGGTGACCATTCATTAGCTATCAATTAAATAAATTATACAAGTTTTATATGCATTTATATATGCCAATAAGTAATTCAGGATTCTTTCTTGTGTCCGCACCAAATATATAGATATAATGGGGGTTGCACCATTTCAATACCACATGTTAGAAACCAGAATTCAACAATCTTAAATGAAAAGTCATTAATCACTAAAACTGTCGTATGCTCTTGTATAAACCATCACATGCCGTTTCATACACTAGGATAGATAATTCATGCTCATCATTCCAGAAATTAATAAACAGCTTTTGATTTGGAAAGATACATCTCTCCATACATTATGCATGTTTAAGTTCCATTTCTCTTACCAATACAACATTTTCAGACAGATTATATCAATCAATACTGTGTAACGCAAGCATACAAATTCAGACTAAAGTTGACTATAACGAAAAGGCACCAAAGGAACCTAATCACAAAATTTGGCCGTTTTTCTGCCTTTTCCCAGATTTCTCACA